TGTGTCCAACGTGTATTTGAGAAAAACATTTATTTCATAATGAGATTTTCCCCCATTTTCAATTGTTTATTTCAATGAAAGGTTAGATATTTGTGATTTTTTTTTAAAATAAAAGATCAAAATGATTAATGCAGATTTATTTTCAGCCTTCTTTGATCATATTTACGAAGGGTGCCAATAATTCTGACCACGACTGTATATGTATACACACACACTGTGTATATATATATATATATACAAAGTCATTTTTCTAGTGATTTTATTCTGTAGGAGTATTGACACTAAAGTAAATAAAACAAACAAGTAAAATCTGCAATCTGTACACTATATATAACTTATTTCATAGACAAGGTTCACATAGAGGTCATGAAAATTGTCTGCATTTAATACCGTTGTGGAATTAATTAAATATCTTTGCCTGCTTTTTGAACTAATTTTGGATCAAGACTAGTTTCAGAGAAAGACATGAGAGGCTTAAAGGTGTAGAAGCCATACCAGTCAATGGAAAAACAAGAGAACATCCAAACAATAGCTGATCTACTCTATTTTTATAGAAGTGTTATACATGGTTGCATCTATTTTTATAGAAGTGCTATGCATGGTTGCATTTAGTTTTATATAAGTGTTATGCATGGTTGCACACAGAAAAGGAAGAACACTCAAGAAACCTTCAAAAGCACACCACTGGAACTGTTGCTGGAGCAGTGACTGCCTCTTACACCCCAACCAAGAGCAGAGCCTGTCCAGAGTTGACCCAAACCTGTAAGAAATCAATGTGGCGACTTCTGAAGCAGACTAGCCAGTTTGTACGGGATGAGATCCATGCTGTCCTTGTTCCAGAAGGCATGATCCATAAATAAGTCTGCACTAAAATTTACAAAATTCAGTTCAAGTCATTCACTATATACAGGGTTCCCACTCTTTCATGAACACCAGATTCAAGGACTTTTTAAAGCACCATTTATTTTATATCAAGCACCTATCAAATTCACACCCCAGCATATGTAGTGTCATGAAAGACCTTACAGTACTTAACATTTCACTGACACTTAACATTTTACATTAAACATTTCAGAGTAATAATGGTTTGAATGTGTAGGTTTCATAAATTTAGACCGTTTTGAACAGTCGTGTTCAAAGTTATTTAATGAAATCCATTAGTCAGTACTGGTGATATTCAAATACGGTTAGTCTTCACTGTATAATGAAAGGCAGCAGCAGGTTTATTTAGGCTGCTGTCTCTTTAAGACCTCGTGCACGGATCTAATATACTGTTACACTCTCAGCTTTGTCTGATACACTCTATGCTTACTTTTCTTTTTAGGAGCGCTTGTCCTCCTAATTAAAAAAAAATAAAATAGGAGCACCTTCTGATCAATAATTAGTCTTTCTAATACGAGCTGACATTTGACTCAACGTGACTTACAGGAGTATTTTCTTTTTACATTTTCAATATAATTTTTATCATTTTCATCTGTCAAATTAAAAAATGTATGTTTATAAGCTTTTTAAAATTTCTATTTAAAACAATATAAT